CCTCCCCCACCTGTGCAACTGTTGCAAAAGCTTACAGCATAATATTCGAGGAAGTTTCAGGCGAGAGCCCTAGTTGAATGGAGCCGCCCTCCAGGCGTGCAGCTGCTACATGGAATCAAGTGTCTTGTCGTTATGTTGGGATAAATCTCAAACGAGAGTCCCATTTAGAAAAGGAACCGTCCCCGAGCCTGGCAACCCTTGCGAACTTGTAAGACGAATGCGCGTGGCGCTAAGGCGACAGCTCCAAGCTGAAAATGAACAGCCATCCATACGTGCAGCTGCTGCACTGGTTCAAGTGTCTTGTCGCCATGTCGGAACAGGTCTCAAATGAGAGCCCCACGTAGAAAAGGAACCATCCTCGAGCCGTACAACTCTTGCAAATTTGTCAGACGAATGTGCGCGGCACCAAATCGAGAGCCACATTGTGAAAAGGAACCGCCGTCCATCCTTTGTATGTGCTGCGATATGTTCAAACGATTGCGCGCGGCGCTAAAGCGACAAGTCCATGTCAAAAACGGCACCCACCCAAGATCCCTACAACGATTCCAAGACTTCATATACGTATGTTTCGACAAAAAGGATGTGCGCGGCGCTAGGGCGAGAGCCGCCTTTGGAAAAACACCTGCCCTCCATCCTTGTGGCGCCAAGGCGATAGGCCCGGTTTGAAAACGACCCCCCTCCTTCCTGAGTTCTGGAAGCTCCAAGCTTCAGGACCACATGAGTGGCGCGGAAGCCTCGGGCGAAACGCCCGGCCCGCCCTACCAACACGTCTCAGGGTGCGACAGGGAGAAGCGATCTGCAAGAAGACAGACGAAGGCAGGAGGAGCAGCAGGGCAGGAGGACCACCACTGGCCTGGAGCGGCAGCAGGGGGAGAGCCCGTGGGAAGGCCCGGCGCCAGCATGGGTTCTTGCAGGGCGCCCGGAGAGGCGCTCCGCGCGAGAAAAGAAAACATTTAAAAACAAAAAAAACAAAAAAAAAAAAAAAAAAAAAAAAAAAAAAAAAAAAAAAAAAAAAAAAAAAAAAAAAAAAAAAAAAAAAAAAAAAAACAAAAAAAAAAAAAAAAAACGCGCCCTCTCGAACGGCGTCTGGCTCAAGGACTTGGGCCAACTCTCAGACTGGCGCCCCGTGAACCGAACACCACCGGCAAGACCTGCCCAGACTCCTTCCCCGGGAACCTCGCGGGTGGATCTGGCTCGAGAGGCGCGGCGGCAAGATGCTGTCGGCGGCTCCGGTCGCGCCTCTCTCGCGACCCTGTGGTCGCCTCACGGCGTCGGATCCCAAAGGGGGGCTGGCAGCACGAGGAAGCGCCAGCTTTCCGCGACGGAACGCGTCGCCCCGGCACGCGGTGGGCCACAGCCCGCGGCGCGACGCGCCGAGCGGGAGCTCCCGGCCGTCATCGGGCCAGGGAGCGTAGCCACCCGCCCTCCGGGTGGGTGGCTACGCTCCCTGGCCCGATTGCTCTGAGCCATCACTCTGACCGTGCCATTACTCTGAGCCCGATCACGCTCCCTGGCCCGATCACTCTGAGCCATTACTCTGGTGGATACGATCCTGACCGTGCCATCACTCCGAGCCCAGTGGGCTCAGAGTGGTGGCACGGTCGGGATCGGCAGAGCGGAGCAGGGGCAACGCGACCTGGCAAGCGCACCCGGGGCACAGGGGACAAGAGAGCGCACCGGGTCGCCTGGCTCCGCGTCTCGCGCCCCGCGGCGCGACGCGCGGGCATCTCCGCGCCCTCGCGCCAGCGCCCCGGAGAAGGGAACCCTTGCGCACAGGGCCGCGGGGCGCGGGGCGCGGTCGTCTTCGCGCTCCCGGTGGGGGTCCTGAGAACATCCTGCAAGCGGTCTGGGCCTCAGCGGGCGAGCCTGGAGAGGAGTCCCCGTGGCCAGGGCCTCACTCGCCCCAGACCCGCAAGTGACTCGGGGCCCTCTCCCGAGGAAAATGTTATCTGTTTGATTGTTGTGTTGCTGCTTCTAGTTACCTTAGCTGTGTGCTGTTGCCTTGTGTTGAGTCTGTGTTTGATTGCTACAGCCCGCCCTCGCCCTCACCCGAGAAGTACTGCACCTCACGGCCGCGCTGGACTGCAATCGAGCGGTGCTCCAGAAACCTTTCTGCGCAGGGTCTATGGAAGCCCAGGTCCCTGACGCCGAAAACTGAGATTGCCGCCCCCACTAGCTCTCCTCCTCCTCCTCCTCCTCCTCCTCCTCCTCCATATCATGGTCATCCTCATCCTCGTCCTCATCCTCATCATCATCACCACCATCAGCATCATCACCATCGCACCACCACCACAACCACCATCATCATCATCATCATCCTCATAATCATTATCATCGTCATCATCATCAGCAACATCATCATCACCATCATTATCATCATCATCATCATCATCATCATCATCATCATCATCATCATCATCATCATCATCATCATCATCATCATCATCATCATCATCATCATCATCATCATCATCATCATCATCATCATCATCATCATCATCATCATCTTCATCATCATCATCATCATCATCAGAATCACCTTCATCAACATCCTCATCATCATCAACATCATCATCATCATCATCATCATCATCATCATCATCATCATCATCATCATCATCATCATCATCATCATCATCATTATGATCATCATTATCATCCTCATCAGCAGCATCATCGTCGTCATCAGCATCATCATCATCATCATCATCGTCATCATCATCATCATCAGCGGCCACCAGCATCATCATCAGAACATCATCATCATCATCATCATCGTCATCATCATCACGAAGCATCACCATCATCAGCATCATCAGCATCACCAACACCATCATCATTATCATCATCAGCATCATCGTCGTCAATAGTAGCATCATCATCAGCATCATCAGCAGCATAATCAGCATCATCATCATCATCATCATCATCATCATCATCATCATCGTCATCGTCATCGTCATCACCACCATCATCAGCGTCATCAGCATCATCTGAAGCAGCAGCAGCAGCATCGCCATCATCATCAGAATCAGCATCATCGTCATCATCATCATAATCCTCATCGTCATCATCACAGCGATCAATCATCATTAGCATCATCAGCAGCAGCTGCATCATCATCAACAACAGCATCATCATCATCCTCAGCGGCCATCGTCATCATCATCATCAGCAGCAGCATCATCAGCAGCATCAGCATCATCATCAGGGCTCTCAAGGGGATTCAAGCCTCTGGCTTGTCCTAGGGCTCCCAACCCCATCCAGAGATCTACAGGACTGACCTTCCAAAGAAAGGGGAGGAGGAAGGAGGACGAGGACGACGACGACGACGTCACCGACGACGATCAGGAAGATAATGAAGCCGAGGATGAAGAGGACGAGAGAAATTTTGTGTGCGCGCCCAGCATGGCGGGCCGCGCGCTTCACCCCTCTGCGCAACAACTACCACTTGCAACATGGCCACTGGCGGAGCAGCATCAAACCGTCTCTGCGAAGCCTACTGCTCTCTCCTACTGGCGCTCGCCGCCTGGGTGCATTTGTAAGTAGCAGGAGTTCCCAAGCGCGCAAATCATTATGGTAAGATGCGGCGGATCAGGGCAGGTATGGCGAAAAGGATGGCAATTATGGGGATGAGGGGTTGGGAAGAGGACGAAAACGCATCTGAGAAAAATCATCTTGGTGAGGATAAGGGTGATGGCAAAGGATAGGGTGAGGATGGGTGCGAGGTTCTTTCCCCAGAAAGAACAACCCAAACAGTCTCGCTCAATCCTGCCCTCCCTTCCAAAATTGAGTGAGCATCCGAGATCCGGCGTGGGTAAAGGTCGCCATCCCATGGACAGCTATGGATGAACCGTATGGGCGCTAGGTTCGCCAATTGCGCCAGGTTTGGCAGGGGCGCCAATGGCGGCAGGTGAGCAGGTTTCGTGCACTAGGTGCGCCCAGTGCGCCAGTTGCCCCAGATGCGCCCAGTGCGCTGGGCGCGCCAGGTACGCCAGGCGCGCTATGAGCGCCAAGTGCTGCAGGCGCGCCAAGCGTGCCAGGCGCGCCAAGCGTGCCAGGCGCGCCAGCTGCGCCAGGTGTGCCAATTGCGCCACGCGCGCCAGGTGCACACATATTGACATGCGATCACGCTTCAGAGGCATGCTCACGCCCGCGCTCTGGCAATAGCTGCCTGGGAAGGACGCAACTTGAACTTTGTATTGGATATTATATATGACTTTTGGTGGGCATATGCTATCTGGCGCGTGCTTCGAAATCGTGCGTTCGGCAAGGCCCTGGTTAATTTCGCTGAACACGAAACACGCGACATACACATAGAACTGCTCTTTGTCCGAGGCGTTTGAGAGGCCGCGTACAATCCAGTGCGTGTGTGTATGTGCGCGACCATGCGCACTGTGCCTTGGTTTTGATTGGGATTATTCGGGTGACTTCATGGGCATGGTCGGCACCACTTGATCGGGGAGGGCGGGTGTTAAAGATGGGGGTAACAGTGACTGTCAAGATGAGGGTGCGGGTGCGAATGGGTGCGAGATTGTCCGTGTGAGGGTTAGTTAGGGTAAGGGCTAGGGCGAGTAGCCTAATAGCTGCACGAACCCAGCGACCAACGGCTTGAGCCAGCCTGGCTAGGATGAGGACGAGCACCAGGATGAGGACGAGGCTGAGGAGGAAGAGGATGAAATTAAGGACGAAGCGATGAGAACGAGGATGCAAATTAGGATGGAAAGGAGGACGATGATAATGACGAGGCTGAAAATGACAATGCGGACGACGATGAAAATCAGCACCAGGACGATGATAAGGTCGGCGGGTAGAGGGCAAAGGATGGATGGAAGACGTAATTTAGAGGATGGAGGATGAAGGGTGGAGGATAGAGGATGGACAAAGGAAGATGGAGGCTAGAGGGTAGCAAAGGGGAGATGGAGGAGTGAAGCCGGTGGAGATGGAAATATGAAGATGGAGGATGGGTGGTGGGGGATGGATGGTGGATTATGGAGGATGGAGGATGCGCGATGGAGAATCCGGAGAGAAGGTCGACATCATGATCGGAATCATGATGAACTTTGATCATGAGGATGCTGATGAGGATGGGCGAACGGCGACTTATCCATTGGCACAGTAGGCCAACATGGGAGACTGCCCAACTGGCAAATCCCGCATTCCAGAGAACATACAATACACCCCTCGCGCCAATCACTTGCTTGCGACGTGCAACGCATATCTGTCATCATGCTGACCACACAATTGCCGACTCATGCTGCATACCCAGATGCATATCTGTCATCACGCCGTCAAAGAAATCGAAAAGCAGGAAAAAGCCGAGCGCCGAGTGAGGCGAAGCGATGCTCGAACAAAAAAAGTGGATCTGCGGCACTGCATCTGCAAGCCAGCTTCCAACTGTGTGAACACCTTTCCGACCTCCACCTCCTCACCATACTCCACATCGCCATGATCACCTTCATCATTATCCGCCACCGTGCCGCTGGGCACGAAGTAGGGGCGCCCTCAGGTCCCATGCCAATTCCCTGAGTTTCAGTCCTCACTCCAGGAGGGTCATCAAGAGGCCCGGAGTCGAAACGGGCACGGTGGGGCGTACCATACAAGGCTTACGACAACGCCCCATGCTTACCCGTAATAGGTAATGGAGCGATAAGAAATGATGGGAAGGTGCACCATCGAAGGATCTGGATCGACTCCTTTTCCGTGGCTCAGGTGCGATAGTACCTCGAACACGAAGTACTCACATTGTAGCGGCCCGCCACTTGAGATACAAACGGCGGCGGACGCAGTCACGGCGCTCGCGATGCTCGCCTTCGATATCTCGCTTTACCGCACGCATGGATGTCTGAATACCCGCCAGCACTTGTAGGAGTAATTCACGGTCAGTACAACATTTGGTATGTCCATCGGCAGTCAGATCACGTGTATACCGCCACTTTATGACATGTACGCTACCTCTGAGCGTCATTTATCGAATCGAACTGACGTGGCCGAAAAGGGTATGATCAATGGTTCTTAAAACTCTGACGGGATACGGACTTGAAGACAAATGTGGCGTCAATGTAAATTACTGCCTGAGTACATGCACCTATTTCTAATATATCATTGGGCTGTCGGAATAAACGGTCGGGCCTTTTAGCTCGCGTAGCGCAACGATGGTCGGGCAGCAGTCATCCAAGTTGCGGGTTGCTGCAAGGGTCTCAGCGGCGAGTCCGAGAGCCAAAACGCGCATCCCCACTACGAAAGTTGTTCCTGTCGGGCCCGAACATGGTACCTTCAGCTCTTGCGCTAGCGCGCATGTAATGAATCTTGGCGGATCTAGATAAACAGATGCGGACCCGAATTTGATTTAGACTTGCGTCAGGGTGGATCACAGTCCCCCCGCGCGGATTCGATCTCAGGTTTTGTGGATATGATGCCCGTCCTGTTTTTTTTTCAAACGGATCCGACTTGCACGCTATTGTAATATTATGATACGGCATCATGGCCAGCCGGTGGTAAGACTCTACGCCGAAAGGGGGATTGGTCACGAACTGACACAGACAGGTCGCGCATTGCTGCACTGGCCCCATCAACCCTCCCCGCACGCGGCTCGCACCCAACATGAATACGCATCTCCTCGCCCCCGGCTGCTGCAAGCATCTTGCCCAAACCCCAAGCGCCTAGCGGCGCCGATGGTCTCTCGCAAACCGTTTGTCGCCGCTGGCACCTCAAGAAGAAAATGTGTCGTAGTGCGTGTTCGGCCTACGTCTCCTGGCCCGAATCCACGGCGCGGACTTTGGCGGGGACGCCCCGGGCAAGAACTCTTGAACGTGCTTTGCGGGCAATGCTGGTCAAGTGTGGCATGTCGACCTTGTGACAACATGCGAGTCCGGAAGCCAAAACGCCAGTGCGTTTTCGGCTGCGCCTCCTGGCCCAAATCCACGGCGTGGACTTTTGCGAGGATGTTTCGGGCAAGAACTCTTGAACGTGCGCTGCGGGTAATGATGGTCACATGTGGCACGTCAGCCCCGTGACAACAAGCGAGTCCGAGAGCCAACACGCCCATTCCCACGACTGGTCCTCTCGGGCCCGAACATGGTACCTTCAGCTCTTGCGCCAGCGCGCATGCAATAAATCTTGGCGGGTCCAATTGAGTTGACCCGAGTGTTGCTTTGAACTGCGTTGCGGTGGGTCACATTCCCCCGCGCGGATCCGATTCCATATGTTGTGGATATGATTTCCGTCCTGTTTTCCAGACGGATCCAACTCATACGGCGCTCCAAGTTTACATTCTAAAATTCAATTAGCTGGCGGACGATCATCGGATCCACGGCATCCAAGCCTGCCGCTGTCAAGTTTATACGGCGGAAGGTGGTTTGGAAACGAAGTTACACAGACAGGTCGCACGTTGTTGCACTGGCCCCATCAACCCTTCCCCGCACGCGGCTCGCATCCAACATGAATACGTATCTCCTCGCCCCCAGCTGCTGCAAGCATCTTGCCCAGACCCTGAGCGCCTGGCGGCGCCGATGCTCTCTCGCAAACCGCTTGTCGCCGCCAGCACCTCAAGAGGAAAATCGTTCGCAGTGCGTTTTCGGTGTGCGCTTCCTCGCCCATATCCACGGCGCGGGCTTTTGCGAAGATGCCTCGGGCGAGAACTCTTGAACATGCGCTGCGGGTCATGGTCAGATGTGGCATGTCAGCTCTGCGACAACAAGCGAGTCCGAGAGCCAAGACGCCCATCCCCACGACGAAAGTGTTCCTCTTGGGCCCGAGCATGGTACCTTCAGCTCTTGCGCCAGCGCGCATGCAATAAATCTTGGCGGGCCCAATTGAGTTGATCCGAGTGTTGTTTGGAATTGCGTTGCGATGGATCACAGTCCCCCCGCGCGGATCCGATTCCAAATGTTGTGGATATGATGTCCGTCATGTTTTTCATGCGGGTTCAAGTCATACGCTGCTTCAACTCTACATTACAATATTAAACTAGCTGGCGGACGGACATCGGATCCACGGCATACAAGCCTGCCGGTGTTGAGAATATACGGCGGAAGGGTGTTTGGACACGAACTGACACAGACATGTCGCGCGTTGTTTCGCGGGCCCCATCAACCCTCCCCGCACGCGGCTCGCACCCAACGTGAGTACTTCTCTCCTCGCCCCCCGCTGTTGCAAGCATCTTGCACAGACGCTGCGCGTCCGGCGGCGCCGATGCTCTCTGGCCAACCGCTTGTCGCCGCTGGCGCCTCAAGAAGAAAACCTTTCGTCCTCCATAAGTCAGAGCGCCCCAAAACGGCCCAAGAAGACGGTCCAAGAGGGCCCCAAGACGGCACCGAAAGGGGCCCAAAAGGGAGGTAACACGAACCGAAAATCCGAACCTTCCGCCCAGGAGGCCCCCAGGAGGCCCCAAGAGGCGCCCAGGAGGCGCCCAGGAGGCCCCAGGAGGCCCCCAAGCGCCAAGAGGCCCCAAAACGGCCCCCAAGAGGCCACAAAACTGGCTCCAAGAGGCCCCCGAGAGGCCTCCCACGAGATCCCAACGAACGCCCAATAGACTTCATACCCACAACCCAGGCACGGTGGCGGGATGGGCCGAAGGCCATAGGTCCGCCGCCACCTGTCGATTCATCGCAGGGGTGCCTGGCGTGCTGGATCCCTTCGGTTCGGCCCGTCCCGCCGGGGTCCCGGAAGGCCGCGTAAACCACCTCAGCGTCCACAAAAAATCCTCCAAGACGGCTCAAGACGGCCTCCAAGATGGCCACGTTGGCCCAAGATGACCTCCAAGATGGTCCAAGATGGCCTCCAAGTCCGCCCAAGATGGTCCAAGACGGCCTCCAAGACGGCCCAAGAGAGTCCAAGACGGCCCAAGACGGCCCAAGAGGCCCCCCAGAGGCCTCCAAGACGGCCCAAGAGGCCTCTAAGAGGTCCCCCAAGAGGGCCCGAAGAGGCCACAATCATAGAGTTTTCCTCAAGTTTTTGAAGGATCGCCCCCACAGCGCCCAGGCCTCCAAGATGGCCTGAGGACCGCCCAAGAGGCCCCCAAGACGGCCCCAAGAGGGCACAAAGACGACCCAAGAGGCCTCCAAGACGCCCAAGATGGCCTCTAAGACGGCCCTGGAGCACCCCAAGAGGGCCCCAAGTCGGCCCAGAAAGGCCTCCAAAACTGCTTCCGACGGCGTCAGACGGACCAGGAGCCCACCAAGATGGCCGAAGTTGGTTCGAAGCTGGCCTAAGACGGCCCAAAAGGCCTCCAAGAGGGCCTCCAGGAAGGCCAGACAAGGCCAAAAATATTGATGTTCCGTAGGTTTCCGAAGGATTTTGACATTTGTTTCGTTTCGACCTTCCGACGACCCGATACGGCCCCAGAGCCCCCAAAGATCGCCCAAAGATCGCCCAAGAGGCCTCCAAGATGGCCCCAGAACGGCCGAAAAAAACCCAAGACGGCCCCAAAAGGCCCCCAAGACGGCCCAGGAGGCTTTTAAGACGCCCAAGATGGCCTCCAAGACGGCCCTGGAGCATTCCTAGAGGGCCCCAAGTCGGCTCAGATAGGCCCGCCAAACGGTTTTCGACGGAGTCGGACGGGCCAGGGGCCCACCACGACGGCCGAAGATGGCACTAAGATGGCCCAAGACGGCCCAAGAGGCCTCCAAAAGGGCCTCCAGGAAGACCCGAAAAGGCCAAAATCACCGGACAGCTCGCCCCTTGGCCCCCCGCCAGCCCCACGCCAAGGGGCGAGCATATATACGGGCGCAGCACCTCGCTGGAGGCGTAGCCGTCGGCTGGGCCGACCATACAGATGATGCATCGCGTGGCGGCTGGATGCCCGCGCCGAGCACAGAGCTCTTCTCGGTTCCTCCCTCCTCTTCCTCCTTCTCCTCCTCTTCCACCTCCTCCTCCTCCTTCGACTCCTCCACTTCCACCTCCTCCTCCCTTCTGCCGCCTCCTCATCCCGTCCGCGTCCTCCGCCCTCGAGCTGATCTCCCCCCCCCCGTCGTCCATTTTCAATGAAATCCTCCTCCCGCCGCCTCTTGCCTCGTCCGCCCGAGATATCCTCACCCGCTTGCTTAAACCTGCCACCCGAAATATCCTCACCCGCTGGCTTAAAACTGCCACCCGAAATATCCTCATCCGAAATATCTTCACCCGCTGGCTTAAAACTGCCACGCGAGATATCCTCACCCGCTGGCTTAAACCTGCCACCCGAAATATCCTCACCCGCTGGCGTAAAACTGCCACCGAAATATCCTAACCCGAGATATCCTCACCCGCTGGCTTAAAACTGCCACCGAAACATCCTCACCCGCTGGCGCTTAAAACTGCCACCGAAATATCCTCACCCGCTGGCTTAAAACTGCCACCGAAATATGCTCACCAGCTGGCTTAAAACTGCCACCCGAAATATCCCCACCCGCTGGCTTAAAACTGCCACCCAAATATTCTCACCCGCTGGCTTAAAACTGCCACCCGAGATATCCTCACCCGCTGGCTTAAAACTGCCACCCGAGATATCCTCACCCGCTGGCTTAAACCTGCCACCCGAAATATCCTCACCCGCTGGATTAAAACAGCCACCTGAAATATCCTCATCCGAAATATCTTCACCCGCTGGCTTAAAACTGCCACGCGAGATATTCTCACCCGCTGGCTTAAACCTGCCACCCGAAATATCCTCACCCGCTGGCGTAAAACTGCCACCGAAATATCCTCACCCGAGATATCCTCACCCGCTGGCTTAAAACTGCCACCGAAACATCCTCACCCGCTGGCGCTTAAAACTGCCACCGAAATATCCTCACCCGCTGGCTTAAAACTGCCACCGAAATATGCTCACCAGCTGGCTTAAAACTGCCACCCGAAATATCCTCACCCGCGGACATAAAACTGCCACCCAAATATTCTCACCCGCTGGCTTAAAACTGCCACCCGAGATATCCTCACCCGCTGGCTTAAAACTGCCACCCGAGATATCCTCACCCGCTGGCTTAAACCTGCCACCCGAAATATCCTCACCCGCTGGCTTAAAACAGCCACCCGAAATATCCTCATCCGAAATATCTTCACCCGCTGGCTTAAAACTGCCACGCGAGATATCCTCACCCGCTGGCTTAAACCTGCCACCCGAAATATCCTCACCCGCTGGCGTAAAACTGCCACCGAAATATCCTCACCCGAGATATCCTCACCCGCTGGCTTAAAACTGCCACCGAAACATCCTCACCCGCTGGCGCTTAAAACTGCCACCGAAATATCCTCTCACCCGCTGGCTTAAAACTGCCACCGAAATATGCTCACCAGCTGGCTTAAAACTGCCACCCGAAATATCCTCACCCGCGGAAATAAAACTGCCATCTAACGGCCTGGTGGTTCAGTTCAGTCTGTCAGTGTCTACCTCGCGAGAATCAAATTACGGGCTGCGCCCGTAAATCATTGATTCCCCATGAGGTTTCCAAGGATTGTGGCATTTGCTTCTTTTCGGCCTTCCAACTGCCCGAGACGGCCCAAGTGCCCCCAGAGATCGCCCAAGAGGCCCAAGACGGCCCCAAGAGGCCCCCGAGACGGCCGAATTGGCCTCCAAGACGCTCAAGATGGCCTCCAAGACGGCCCAAGAGCCCTCCAAGACGTCCTCCAAGAAGGCCAGAAAGGGTCAAAATGGCCTCCAGGCGGCCAAGATGACCTTTACGATGCCCACGTGTTCCCCGAAGGCTGTCCAAACCCATTCGGGGAACACATGGTCCGATAGCTTGGCAGGTCTGGCCTCAACGTTCGGCCACACAGGAGCTTCCAAAAGGGCAGGGGGCGGCGGTGATACGCCATAGGCGTCTTCGATACCAAAATAATGCTCGTCGTCGTCGTCGTCGTCATCATCATCAGCAAGCAGCAGCAGCAGCATCAGCATCATCATCATCATCACCATCAGCATCCTCATCAGCATCATCGTTATCATCATCGCCATCAACATTATCATCATCAGCATCAGCATCCTCATCATCATCAGCATCGTCACCACCACCACCATCATTATCATCATCACCACCAGCACCATCACCATCAGCATCATCATTGTAAACACCATCATCGTCATCATCATAATCGTCATCGTCACCACCACCACCATCATCACCATCATCGTCATCATGAGCATGATCATCAGCATCCGCATCAACATCACCACCGTCACCACAATCATCATCGTCATTATCATCATCATCATCATAATCATCACCATCACCATCATCACCATCATCATCATCATCATCATCATCATCATCATCATCATCATCATCATCATCATAAGCATCATCATCGTCACCACCACCACCACAAGCAGCATCAGCAGCATCATCGTCATCATAACCACCACCACCACCATTAGCATCATCATCATCTGCGTAGTCCTCATCATCTGCATTACCATCATCACCACCATCGTCATCATCCTCAGCATCAGCATCACCAGCATCATGATCATGTTCAGCATCACTATCATCATCATCCTAACAATAACAGTCGTCATCATCATCACCATCATCAGCATGGTCAGTATCATCATCAACATTATCATCATCCTAAGAATAATACTCGTCCTCATAATCACCATCATCATCACAAACAGCATCATCACCACCACCACCATAATATTCGTCATCATCATCATCAGCAACATCGCCATCATCAGCATCAGCATCATCAGCATCAGCATCAGCATCAGCATCATCAGCATCACCGTCATCATGATCATTATCAGCATCATCATCGCCACCATCATCATCATCAGCATCAACATCAGCATCAGCATCACCATGATCATCATTATCACCATCATCATCATTACCACGATGATGATGATCATCATCATCAGCATCATCGTCAACATCATCAGCATCATCGTCAGAATCAGCATTATCAGCATCACCACTACCAGCATCATCACAAACAGCATCACCACCATCATCACCACCACCATCACCTTCGTCATCATCATCATCAGCAGCAGCATCATCAGCATCAGCATCAGCATCAGCATCATCATTCTCATCATCGTCCTCATCCGCATCCTCATCCTTATCATTATCCTCATCCTCATCAGCATCACCACCACCACCACCATCATCATCATCATCAACAATAACATCAACATCAGCATCATCACCATTATCAGCATCATCATCAGCATCGACTTCAGCATCAGCATCAGCAGCATCATCATCAGCATCATCATCGTATCCCTCGCCCTCCTCCAGAGGAGGCGCTAGGCGTTCAGGATCGTGATAGCCTCTACTTGCACCCCGCCTTCGCTAAGCATGTGCTTTGCGGCGGCGTTGAAGGGGGCGGGGCCAGACACCACAAACCTGGGAGGACCTTCGCCGCCACCGCCGACCCAAGCCCAGACCTCCGACGTCGCTTCAATGCGTGGCCACTGGGCCGCTCTAGCCCTGCCCGCGAAGCAGTTTGTCGTCACTGATTGTTGCTGGCCGTTCCAGGGCACGAAGCGCGACTCCAGACGCCGAAATTGAGGAAAAAACGCCAGCATTGAAAAGATACTACTTCGGAGGTCTGGGGACACAGTCTTCCCCACCCCCCTCTCCCTCCCCGTGGGTGACGAGGGGGGGGAGAGGGAGGGGGCGAGGGGGAAATGGGACTGGCGGCTGGCAACGATTGTCTCTCAAAGCCTCGTTGGACCCTGTAGCCGTCGAATCTCGTTCTCGAGGAGCTCTTGGGATAGGCGTGCGCGTAGGCACTGCATGTTTTCCACGTCCGCCAGCTGTGCCAAATCTGCCTCTCCCACTTCTGGGAAAGGTGGTGGTGACCCAGCCGGCGGCTCTGTCAGCAGAAGGGTGCATCGTTTAAGCTTCCCCGACACACACCAGCTCTTCAATTCATCCAGCAGTAAAACGTCGTCGCTGCGGCACGAGTAAACTAGGCTCACCGGCTGTGTCAGTACTACGTTGGATCCGAAACACGTAGCGTGATCAGCGTGGTGTAGCACCTGAGGGACCGCCACGATGCCAGTGCCAGCGAGGAGCAGCAAGACGCTTGCAGGCCTGAAAGCAGCGTGGGTGAGATCTGGCACGAGAGAGGGAACATCTAAGGTTTTCATTGGCTGAGAGAGCCTCACGGAGCACCCCAACTCCTGTTTGTGTAACCACGAGGTCGCCAGGCCGGTGTCGTAGATCTTTATGAGTATGTCACACTTGCCTTGCTCCCACTCCTTCGCGGTACTGATCGGTGTGTAGTCGCGCTCGATCCAGGGCAGAGGACCCTCGCTGTTCGTGCCAACGTCGGCCAGGAGGGTCGTGTGCCAAGTCTTGTGCCACACGGTGCGCCCTCGGCCCCTGGGGTTCGGTGTGCCCCTCGCCTTGTCCTTTGATGTGAAGTGGTATACTGCGCTGTGCTTCGACACCTTGGTTACTCCTGCCAAGAACCACAGTCCGTACTTCTCGATGGGCCGCTGCGAGGTCTCAATCTTGGCGGCAGCGTTGCTTTCCGATTTGCACCTGCGCAACAATGACGTGACTTCAATCACGAGCCTAAAGTCAAGTCTCATCGCCGAAACGCGCTGCTCGATGGCGTCCAAGTCTTCCGAACGCCCGAGCTTGCCTAGGAGTTTGGCACGTTCCATTAGAAGCATGATATTGCCTCCGGCCATAGACTCAGCCTCCGTAACGTGGACCAGCGCATCTTCCCAAAGCCCTGCGGACGCCAACAATTGGGACAGCTCAAACTGCATCTCCAGGCGGTCATTCCCAGACTTCGACATGACGTGTTCGGAGAACCCCGCCAGAGCCGCATTCCACTTGGCCTCCGCACGGGCCTGGTTGCGCACCCTCATTGCTCTGGCATCGCCAAGCCGCTGCACAAGCCCGGGTTCCTCCAGGCTTGGCCTGCTTCCGGTGGCCTGCTGAATGACCGCTGCGCTCTTCTCCACATCGGTGATCCTGGTGCAGACCAGTCTTTTGCGTCCACGGACCACCTCCGCGTTCGGCGCCTGGCCACAGGCGCCTATGCAGCCCGACTCCTGCACCGTGCAGTTCCTAAAGCCCTTTGCCAGCTCCTCGATCTCGAGGAGCACCGCTTCGGAGCCGGCGCTGCGGCAGGCTCCTGCCTGGCAGACGAGAATTACAGAAGGGGCCGAGAAAGGAGGGGGAGGCGGAGGAACATCCGAGTCCACATCCATCCTTTCTCAGTCTGTGCGCCACGCGCCTTGAGCCCAAACGGCTGGTGGGAAGTATTTATGCCGACGGTCGTGACAACGTTGCTGGCACCGAACTTCCATCGGCGGTACCATTATTGCTGTAACTTCGATGTTGACGAGACTGCGCATGGCCGAGAGAGACAGATGTGGTAGAAGGGAGGAAGGCGGGAGCAGAAGTTGGAATAGCATGATTGCAATACCTATGCAAAACGGGTGGCATCGTTTCCGCCTGATCCTGCTATTCCCCTCCACCTCATGCTCCACCTCCTCCTGTTCCTCTATGTTTCCCTCCCTCCTCCGCCTCTTCCTGCTCACCTCACACTCCTCCCCGTCCCTTCTTCCTCATCATCCCTCCACACTCGTCCCTCTTCCCTCCCCTCTCTTTCCATCCCTCCTTCCTCCTCCTCCCTCAAGCCTCCTCCCCCTCCCTCCTCCTCGAGCACCTCCACCTCCTCCTCCTCCTCCTCGTCCTCCTCCTCCTCATCCTCCTCCTGCTCCTGCTCCTCCTCCTCCTCCTCTTCCTCCTCCTCCTCTTCCTCCTCCTCCATTTCTTCTACTTAGAAACAACTTTTCCCTGTCGCACTCCGAGGCCAGCTTTTTGGGCGGGCCTGGCGTTTCGCCTCAGACTTCCTTACCATCTATGACTCCGAAGCTTATGAAAATTGACAACCATTTCACAAATGAAGGGCGGGTGGTTTTCAAAATGTGGCTCTTGCCCACTACTACGACGAATACTGCTACTACTACTACTACTACTACTACTACTACTACTACTACTACGACGACGCCGACGACTACTACTACTACCACTACTACTACTACGGCTACTACTACGGCTACTACTACTACTACTACTACTACTACTACTACTACTACTACTACTACTACTACTACTACTACTGCTGCTACTGCTGCTACTGCTGCTACTACTGGTACTACCACTGCTACTACTACTACTACTACTACTACTACTACTACTACTACTACTACTACTACTGCTGCTGCTAATACTACTACT